ATAACTCACTGAAAGCGAATCTCAAAAAAATGAGTTTGTGTGCAAAGTGCAGTCGCTCCATTAGAGGAGAGAGCGGTATACGTTGTGAAGGAGTGTGCAAAAAGGTGTATCATTTGAGCCTTACATGCGCGGGTGTTGACAAATACAATGTGGAGATGTTTGAAGAGAAAAAAATGGTACGCTTTATGTGTGATGAGTGCGTAACATATATACAGAATGTCGACTTGGTGCTGCAAGATATGCAAATGAGTGTAAACAAAAATAACTCAATATTAAATGAATATAAAAGCGAGTTTGAAGATGTAATGTTGAAAAGTCAAAATGAAATAAAAGCACTTTTAGAAGCTGTAGAGGGTCGGTACACACAGAGAGTGGCAATGATGGAAAGATCACAAAAGCTGTTTGAAAAGAAAGTTGGTGAGATAAAAAGCTTGTATGAAATGATCGAAGAAGTAAAAAATAAAACGGAGACAATCGGAAAAGACAACGAAAAGGTGCACAGTGAAATAAAGAAAATCAATAGCAATAATATCGAAAAAGGTCTGTCATACGCAGAAGCAATGAAAAATAATAACAAAGCAGGTGTAAACAAAAGCAAAGATACTACAGTGCCTGAACTAAAGAAACGTACTCCTATTATTGTTAAACCTAAAGTCAAACAAACGTGTGAAAAAACCAAGAAAGATCTAAACAATAAAATTAATCCTAAGGAACTAAAGATAACAGACATTCAAGCTGGTAATAATGGCATTATGGTGATCGATAGTGTTGATGAAAATGAAAGAGACAAAATAAAAGAAATTATGGACAAAGAAATTAGTAATGAATATGAGATAAAGATACCTCGTGAATATAAACCTAGATTATTCATAACAGGTATGCAATTGGAAAAGAATGGTGTTGAGTTAACTGAATGTCTACGTAAACAAAACAAATGCTTTGAACAGGGTGATGTTAAAATTATTAAGCAATATAATGTTAAAGTTAGTCACAAAAATTATTATAATGCAATAGTTGAGGTTGACGTGGAAATATTTACTGAAGCGTTAAAATTAGATAAACTCAATATAGGTTGGGAAAGGTGCAAAGTATACGATGGTGTTGATATAACAATGTGTTTTAAATGTAAAGGGTACAACCACAAAGCTGGTGAATGCAAAAATGAAGATGTTTGTAATAAATGCTTGGGTAATCATAAAACCATGGAGTGCAAGGATCAACATAAAATCATGTGCATAAATTGTATTAAAGCTAATGAGAAATTGAATCTAGGGCTTGACACCAATCACCCGTACAATAGCAGACATTGCCCAGTCTACTTAAAGCACTTAAATGTAAAAAAACAAAGGCTAGGGTATTAGCAACTAGCAATAAGACCACTGGCTCACTTGGACCATGCTAATTATATGCAACGTAGTGCATCGAGGTGCCAAAAAAGATCCACAAAGGACACCAATAATGACTTCAAATGTATCTACTTAAACATAAATAGTATAGTAGCTAACAAACCAGAGTTGGAAGTGTTGGCGGAAGTTCAAAGACCAGGCATCATCCTGTGCTCTGAAACATGTACAACCAAAGATATTCTAGATAATGAATTAGAAATAGCAACCTATAAAATGATAAGATGTGATTCCCATAGCAGGCACACAGGAGGTGTGCTAGTTTATGTACATAGTACAATTGCTGTTAAAGAAATTTATAATGATAACATAAATGATAACGTATGGTGCATTATAATAAAACTGAAAAAGGTTGATAAAAAGTGGCAGATTGGTGTTCTGTACCACTCCCCAAGCACTAGTGATGCAGCATTTGTAGAATACCTAAATGAAATTCTAATTGATAAATACGAAAAAAGTAATCATAATATAGTAGTCGGTGATTTTAATATTAACATGAACTGTATATCAACATATAGTATTAAATTAAAAGACATATTTGCTATGATGGGTATGAGCCAAAAAATTGAATTTAATACGCGAATCACAGATACAAGTGCGTCGAAAATTGATTTATTATTTTCAAACTCAGATGAAGTTCATTGTACTAATTTGCAGCAATACAAAATATCTGATCATGAAACTATAAAATTTAATATTAAACCGTCTAAAGCATACAAGATGAGACTGACCAAGAAAATTATAGCTTGGGATAAATATAATAGTGATACATTAATAAGCATCCTCAGATCATTTAACTTCAATTTTAATCAAAACTTATCTATTGATGTAAAAGTTCAATTAATTAATAACATTATGATTCAGGCTATGGAAAGTTTAACCTACGAGAAAGAAGTGCATATCAAGTTAATGAATAAATGGTACGACAGAGAATTGGCACAAATGAATAAATACAAATATAATATGTACATGCATGCGGTACAAACTGGTGAGTGGAATGAATATAAAAATATAAATAATTCATACAAAAAATTAGTCAAATTAAAAAAAATAAAGTACATGGAGAATAAAATCACTATGAATGAATACAATGCTAAAGAAATGTGGAAGTACCTCAAACAAACGGTTAACCTAAATAAAGATAATGAAGGGATAAGAAAGGTGATATTGGACGGCATACTGGTTGAAAACGAAACCGATCTGGCGAATGGTCTTAATAAATTTTTTGTAAACAGCGTGATTGAAATTAATAATAACATAGAAACCTGTCAAGTAGAAATAGAGGATTCACAAGCTCATTCAGAATTAAAGTTTGTTAAAATCACCACTGATGAAGTCATTCACATCCTAAAAGACTTTAAATATAAAATAGGAGGCAGAAAACTTCTATCCGAAGGTGTACTAAAAGATTGTATATCGTATACCGGTTATTTCTATGCTCAAATAATCAATAACAGCCTTGATGATGGTGTGGTACCTGAAATATGGAAAACGTCAATAATAATACCGGTGGAAAAAGTTAAAAAGACAATGCAACCTGAAGAACTTAGACCCATTAATACCCTGCCAAGTGATGCTAAAATTCTCGAAGTCGTTGTTAAGAATCAGTTAGTGAATCATCTTGAAGCAAACAATATACTAGTCTACCAACAGTCAGGGTTTAGGAAAAACCATTCCTGTGAGACAGCGCTGAACTTGGTGATATCTGAGTGGAAACAAGAGCTTAACAACAAAAAAGTAGTGGTTTCAGTTTTCCTTGACCTCAAAAGAGCTTTTGAAACGGTGGATAGGGAGATTTTACTAAAAAAAATGCAGCGGATTGGCATAACTGGTACGGAACTTACATGGTTCCGCAACTATTTGAAGCAGAGAAAGCAGAAAACAGTTATTAATGATGTGATGTCTGATGAATTAGAGGTACCCATAGGGTTACCTCAAGGCACAGTGTTGGCACCTATACTATTTCTTATATACATAAATGATATAGTCAATGCTATCGAAGGTTGTGAAATTAGACTCTTTGCTGATGACGCATTAATGATGATCAGCGAAAATAACATTAATACTGCAATTGCCAAAGTGCAACATGAACTTAACAATTTGTATAAATGGTTGTGTGGTAATAGACTGAAACTGAATATTAATAAAACTAAATACATGATAATAACAAGGAGAAATATCAATGAGGATGATATAACCGAGCTAAAAATAAATGATGAAATCTTACAAAGAGTTAACAGTATAAAATACTTAGGAATAATAATTGATAGTAAACTCAAATTTGAAGATCATATAAATTATACAATTGAAAAAGTTGCTAATAAAATAGGAGTTATGCAGAGAACAACTAAATTCATACAAAAGAAATACAAAATAATTTTATATAAATCAATTATAGAACCACACTTCGTGTACTGCCCGTCCATTCTATTCATAATATCGGATATAGAAGTAGACAAACTCCAAAAGCTTCAAAATAGATGCATGAGATTTATTCTTCAGAAACCTAAAGATACACGAACAGCGGTCATGTTAAAGTCTTTAGACTGGTTAAGTGTGAAACAAAAAATTTTCTTCCACTCCATGAAGTTCATATTTAATATCAAACATGGAAATGTACCTGAGTATCTAAATAAAAATATAGTATTAATTGAGCATACTCACAACATAAATACGAGGAACAAGCATAATTTCAAACTGCCGTTTTTCCGAACTGAAATTGATCAACAGAATATTTTCTACAAGGGTCTGAAAAGTTACAATGATCTGCCTATGGACATAAAAAGTTGCAACCAAATTACAGGCTTTAAAACAAAATTATATGAATATTGTAAAACCTTAGCTATAAGATAACTCTGTAATATATTCCAATTTACGAATTAGGCTTTGGCCGTAATAAATAAATAATAATAATAATAATAATATATAGTTGGCGGCCCTCCTGTATTTACGACAGAAGCTCACACGTTTACGAGGATGAGTTTTAAAATAATATAAATACAATTAAGCGTAGCATCATTAATTTAGCCCCAAGCTCAATAAAAATTCTTGAATATAATTTTTATAAGGACATAAAATAACAAAAAACCAATAACTTAAGGACGAGCACACCTTAAAGTTAAACATTCTAAAAATAGAATTATTAACAAAAACCAACAACCACATGATCAAGTGTGAATTGCAGCGGAATAGCTGCGCTTGATTGTGTTGGCTTAACAAATGAAAAAGTGGGAAAAAAGCAACAATAATTCACAAGGCGAACTTAACACAGTGCGTAGGCAACTGGCTGAGTCAGTGGGATCGTCGGTTCGAATCCTACTGAAAGAAGTCTGATGAGGAAATGTGGTGATTTCCGAAATAGCTATCACTTCTACCATTTTTTCAAATTATTGTTGCTTTTCCACAATAAGTTTTTCATTAAAAACGGCCTCAAGCTCAATAAAGATTGTTGAATATATTTGTTATAAGGCCATTAAATAACAAAAACCAAATTGCATCATGTAAAGTTAATTAAATAAAATGTTATGCTATTTTTGTTTAGATGCCTAGCACGGTAATGCTTATTATTCTATGATTTTTCATTAAATATTTCCCCAGATCTCGTGAGGAGGTGCTGCAAATCATAGGTGAATTGATAGGTGCTCTTCAGCGAGGTCGCACTAGTCTCATAATACCAAAGAAGAAAGCAATCGACGAACTTATGAAAGGGCGAAATATGGTGAGCCGAATATATGTAGAATTATGCTATAAACATAAATAAGAATACAAATTTAATAGCCAGTAATTTTATATATACATATATTCCAGAAATCGCTCACACCTAATCTACCAGAAGATCAAGCAATATCTTTCTTTTTACAATGCCATAAACTCATAATAGCGATTTATCAATTGTTAAACGTGCAGGGCACTATGAAAATGGAGGCCACACAGGCTGAGTGCTCTGTGGGTTGGCTCAATGACGTGCTTGTGTTGTTTACCGTAGGTCTAACTCTATGCCAACAGCTGAAGGATAAAATTAACGCATTTAAAATGGACACTTCAAGTTAGTAATTTTCCTACCGTCGTCTGTGAATGTAAGTTTGTGTTATGTACACACAGCCAATGTCAACCTATATAGTGGGCAGAAACGTCGTATGTAAGTAACAACTCAGAAACGAACAAGTTTATTAAGTATTTCTAACTACAAAGAATATAATATGAAACTACTATACATACAATGTACTTAATGAGTACGTTTAAATGCATACACATGCACATGCGTATTATAACTACATAAAGAACCAAAACGTGAGGGTGTTAATGCGAAGGTGGTAAAAACAAAATGTGATATCTAGCATTTAAAAATATTCCATACATACATCACCAGCGTATGGTTGTTCTGAAAAAAAAAACAAACGACAAAAAATTTTAATAATGTTATGATATTAATGTTATTTAAAAAATATCCCTAAAATCAAATTGTGTGATGTAAATCAGAAATTGTGCACACACTTCATAAAGAGCGTGTCAGACGTGGCAATATTTCCAATTTTCCACGCAATTCGCTGTCAAATTGAGACAGACACATTTTATTTCGATGTATGAACAGCCAGAAGACCTTGCTGTCACATTTCGGAAATCAGTTTCAGAAATAAAAGTTGCAAAATGTTACTGCAATTCAGAGAGCGCAAATCGATTTCAGAAATATATTTCAACTTGCTCGTGCTGCACTAGCAATCTGCAATTTGCCTTTCGGGAAATAAAAAACCTCTTCCGAAAGACACTTTACATGCAAGGTGTGACTGCTCATGCAACTGCTTTCTGAAATTTTGCAATTTGACAGCCTTTTCGAAATATATTGCATTGTCACGTCTGGTAGGATCTTAAGAGCTAGGCTAAAAATTAAACTGAAGAACAGTCCCTGAGCGGAATTAGCGACTTTTCTTTAGAATTTAAGTATTTATTTCCATTAAGGGCCAGTTTTTCAGTGCCAGTTTAAACTTAGATTAAGTAAACTGCGTTTAAATTGAACAGCTGGTTGACATTTGATTGGCTAATTTGAGTTTAAACCACTACCGTGCACTGAAAAACTGGTCCTAAGAGAGCTTCAAAGTAAAATAAGTTTTATTTGGTTCCTTCTTTGTTTTAGACCCCTGTGCTTGATGTGGGTATTGAATGAAAGAAATACAAATTTGTGAAATGTAATAACACCATGTTAAATGGGCTTGAACCAGTTAAATGAACAAAACGTGTTTATAAACAAGATAAATCGCATGCATTTGTTGTTGGTTGTTGTTGTTGTTGTTGTAGCGGCTACAACAACCCCGCCCAGGACGGTTGGTATCTCAGTCGTTGTCGTCAAGTTCCACTAACGGCAACCCTAGGAAGCGTGCAGCTTCTGTGGGGTTTGTCCACAGGGACAAGGCCGTTAGGGTTGTCGGGTTTTCCGGGCATGCGAAGAGATGTTTCGAGTCATGTGGG